TCTCCCGCGAAGCCCGTCGGTCGTTAGCGCCTTGAATCGCTCTTACGATGGGAAGAAGGTGTGATGCCGGGAGAGAGCCCGCTTCCAGAGCCCCGCCACGCAGCCCCGCGGGGCTGAGGAGATGGGGCCGCAGGCTTGGGGCTACCTGACGGGCAGTACTGGAAGCAGAGTTGCCGGCTCCTGGTTTCCCACTTGCCGCCTCCCCAGCAGTCAGCAAAGTGACTATCAGGCTAGAGCAGACTAGGCTGTAAACGTCGTAGCTTATACTTGTGCGTGGTTTTTCTAACTTCAGTATTGCAGATGTGACCTGCATCATGTGACTTTATTCCCTGTTATGTGCAAAACCAAATGCGTCTTTTGAAATTCCTTCTTTAGCAAAATGCTGCCAACCACTTCAGTTAATTCTCGAAGCCAGGGCAATGGTGCACTGAGCCCTAGAGATGCTGCAAGGCACACAGCTGGAGCAAAACGCTACAAGTACCTGCGGAGGCTCTTCCATTTCCGGCAGATGGACTTTGAGTTTGCTCTTTGGCAGATGCTTTACCTATTTACTTCACCACAGAGGGTTTATAGGAACTTTCACTACAGAAAACAGACAAAGGACCAATGGGCAAGAGATGATCCTGCTTTCTTAGTGCTCCTCAGTATCTGGCTCTGCGGTGAGTGCAGGGGAATAGACAGCATAAAAGAGAGGGAGGGAAAGCTTAAGGATGAACACTTGTGTCCCTTCTAATCACATACACACACACAAAAAGGACCTATTCATATTGATTATCTCTTAATCAAAGTAGAACAGAAGAAAATGGCCTAACCTTTTGGAAGTTAAGGTGGGAATTAGAAAACAGAGGAGGCATAACGAGTACTATGTAGTCCTGAATTAATCTCTATTTCAACTCATTTTCTATTGCATTTAAAACTATGTAGTTCCCTGTAACGTTACAGACAGTAACAAAAGCCCCCTGCCACACAGCAGCAATGCCTTAGTTAAAAAATACTGAACGTTACAGATAAAATACTGGTTTTACATTAAAGACCCTAGTGAGATTCTGTATATTGTGGAATTAAGCTATAAAGAAAGTGTCTCATTTGATTTTTAGATTGAATTGAAAACACAGCAAGAAGCATTATCCTAGTCGTCTTCTGTTATGTAGCACATCACTATGAGCAATATCAAAACTGTTAAGTAAGTCTGACATAAAAGTAGGTATCACCACACACATGGTTTGAGTTAAGAAGGAGCTTTTATAAAACAAAGAATATTCTATAGTAGCATTGTGTGGATTTTTAAAAAATAGTTGGGGGGGCAGTACAATTTGATGTTATATCATTATGGCCAAGTACAGATGAGTGTTCTTCCATCTGTGAAAGGGATTATATTATGAATAACTTGCACTGTATTTTGCATTTGGTAGAAAAAATAAGCTGTTGGACTGAAAAATCTCAGAAAAATAATAAGGAAACCGGAGATTTAATAACAGTATACTAAAAAAACCCGTATTAGTTTAAGATCTCATGCTCTCTTTTCCATAGCTAACTTAAATAATCTTTTTCTCCTTTCAGTGTCTACTGTAGGATTTGGATTTGTGCTGGACATGGGGTTTTTTGAAACAATAAAGCTGCTACTTTGGGTTGTCTTCATAGACTGCGTAGGTGTTGGCCTCCTGATTGCAACTCTAATGTGGTGAGTAGTGATGTCAGAAACTGAGTTCAGTATTGCTGTTGGGACACCGATAGTCCTCTGCTGTTTGCAAGACACTTGTTTTTTCTGTTTGGGGCAAAATTATAAAGTATTGACTAAAGTATTGTGCTGTCATGGTAATTGTTTCAAAATGTTGCTTTAAAAAAGAACACAACTTTTTTTTTTTTTACTATCTTCTGCAAAAAGTGAATGTTCAGAAAGTAGGTATTATGATAAACATTTCAGCTTGTTTTCTTTCTTCTTGAGCTGGTTAATCTTTAGCAGTAATGCCAAATAAAAACTTTGGTGACCAGAAAAAATTCTTCATTTCTTTCTTTAGTTGAACAGCTTAAATAAAGTAAGCCTGAAGATGATTAAGTAGGACAATATATAATTGGCCGATGCTTCTTGCTGAACTGTAGCTGACAGATGAAGGTCCATCTGACCTACTTTCCTGTCTGGGACAGGAAATTGCTGGGGGAAGAGCATGTAGTAATGCTTCCCCCTCGTCTTACAGCAATTTGTTCCTCTGGGTGCAGTCTCCCGAACCAGAAAGACTTCAGCATCTCCTGGTTTTCCTCTGTCCTTTAGTCAGCTTCCTGCAGGCCTAACTACCACTCAACTGGCTCCAGTTTGGGTCAGTCCCTTCTTCCAGTACAGGCTCACCTGTTTTTGAAAAGCTTCCCCCATTCCTAATGGGTGTAAACCTCTTCTTGCCTTGCTTCACCTTGCACCCAGGCTCTGCCTTTCTGACCTTGCCCTTGGCACAAAGAGTATGTCAGTTGAAGCTACTGTGAAAGCTCAGGTCTCTTAACATGCGCACAGAACTAGGAAGTTGACTTCTTGGTCCTCTTCTAAATGGGATAAATTGTCTGATGTCAGCAGAACTTCAGCAGAGGAAAACAAACTCTCAAGGCTTGTTGGGTAGTCTGTAACAGCAGGCAGCGCGCACGCTGTTAGAGCTTCTTTTCAGCAAGAAGAATGGGCTCATCTATTTAGAGTGCTAGCCTGCCTTCCTTCTGTCCTTGCAGTGTGCCATTTCTGCAGAGGTGAAGTAAAACATCTGTGTGTGAGATGTGCTGATAATGTGCAAGCACTTGTCTGAAGCCATCCCCATGCCTGTACAAACAGAAGTGGCCAGTGCCTGAGAACTTGAAACTGCTTCGATACATTGTAGCATCGATCTATTTAAAAAACCACACCACAACCCCAAAACAGTTCTGGTTCTGTATTACTAGCAGTGTATTTCAGCTGCCTGGTGAATACAAGGGCTGTAATTACTGTTTTAACAAAAACTGTCTGGTCGGCATAGTTCTTCCATATTTTTCTCCCAGATAACAGAAACTTTGGGCTACAGAGTTAGAATCAGATACGGCTTCCTATCTCAAACCAATGTTTTGTCAGTCAGGTTTATAGATTCACATTAACAACACTCCAATGTCTTTTCATGTAGGTTTGTTTCTAATAAGTACTTGGTGAAGCAGCAGAACAGAGACTATGATGTGGAGTGGGGATATGCCTTTGATGTTCATCTGAATGCTTTCTATCCACTTCTAGTCATTTTGCATTTTATCCAGCTGTTTTTCATCAACTGTAAGTAGAATATTTTGTGCTCTCTGCTTCAAAATAATGCTCTATCAAAACATCTGAGAGCAGTTGTCTCTTTCAGATGTCATCATATCTGATTCTGTCATTGGGTATTTTGTTGGGAATACATTGTGGCTGATTGCAATTGGCTATTACATCTACGTGACATTCCTAGGATACAGTGGTAAGTAATGGCAGCTTCTTTTCTACTGGTTTGACTGAAACCAAGAGCATGATTTTTAGTCTATTAATGTGATCTTAGTCTATTAATTTGTAAATCAGAGGCTCAGCTGGGTGTTGAAGTAATTCTTTCTTCCTGGTAAAAGAAGTTTCATAGAAATTTACCACTCCGTGTTTCCAGCTGGGTAGACATCTTACCCAATGAACCACAATCTATTCTTCACCATACCAGCTTATCTTCTTGTAACGTATTGGACCTGTAGCACCACAACTTGTTTTTCTTGTGCCTCTGTAAATCCACTTCAGAATGTTTGCATTGGATAACAACTCTGGAGTGAGTTCGAGACTATAGTTTTACGTAAAACAGAACTCATGTGCCCTTTAATCTGTGCTAAGGGTAGAGCTGACAAACCTGCCCTTCTAGGGGGCTGGTAGAGCAGTACTGGGTTTTTCTTGCGGTCTCTCCCTAAGGCCCTTCTACATGAAGCACCTTTTTTGAAAGAGCGCTACTTTATACTTGCTTCATCATCGCTTCTCTTTCAGCATTGCCCTTTTTGAAGAACACAGCTATTCTTTTGTATCCGTTTGCACTTCTCATCATGCTCTATTTGATCTCATTAGCATGCGGATGGAACTTCACCAAGATGCTTTGTTCCTTTTATAAATACAGAGTGAAATAAAACCAGGACTAAATGTATCTAATGTTTATTTTCTTTACTGTCAAGACAGCTAAGAAAAACAGAAGTTAAGAACATTTTGTAAATGGTTGTAAATTTCTCTTTATTGTAGATAATTGTGTAAAAAAAAGTTTGAAGTGTCCTTTTTATTAAAATATTTACAACAGTAAATGTTAGCAATTTTGTTCAAATACTTTTGCAGTACATTCCTAAAAACAAGTTACTTGTATGTCTCTGTAGCTTAAATTTAACTGCAACAAGTCTACTTAGCATAACTCTTACTGCAGATATTTTGCATGTACTGGCATAAGCTCTACATTATGAGGGTTTTAATTGACACTGAGAAGCAGTTTTATTTAAGAATATTGGCATACCTTGCCTTGGGACCATGTGAAAGTAGGGCTCTTTACCAGTGCAACACTACAAACTAACAACTGTCCTAGATACAGAACTGTCCCTTCCTTTCATGAAAAAACTTGAGATTTATTTTAATGACTACTTCAAATATACATGGACAACTCTGGCACACAGAAGAAACAGTGATGAAAGGCACAATTAACATGACCCATATCAGGTTTCCAAATATAGCAGCAAGTTTTAAAACCCAATCTCTCGCAGTCCAGTGGGTATTATTACATCCACCATTCTGAGTGGCAGGTTGATGAACGTGAGGGGACAAGTTTAGCAAGGGTGGGCTCTTGGCAATGCCCGCAGCTGTGAAGTCCACAAGGCAGGAGTATAAACAGACCATCACAAACACTACCTTTTGGAAAATGAAGATGGCAGCCTCCTAAAGTAGAGTGTTCAGTATGAAGCACGAGCACTAGGATTCAGTTTCCAAAACAACACAAGGGTAAACTGGTTACAGTAAGACTTAATATTTCAGTACTAGAATTTGATCTCTAAGGAAAAACTATATTTCTCTTAAAATACCAAATATGCTGGCAGTGCATCTTACAGTACTGTGTGTTTCAGCCACTCTTAAGGCTTGAAGAGACTTGTGTTCCCCTCCCAGCAGACACTGAGCAACGTTCCCCTCTCGCAAGAAAAGCACTGAAAGCAAAGGATTCCAGTTGGGACCTGCTCCCACCCTGGCTGGCAGCGCCAGCTCCCGTCCTGCAGGCAGCTGCGGCCGAACCATATGACTTTTCCCTAACAGGAATCCCAGCACCAGTGATCACCTGCTTCAGCAGTAAAAATACTTCATATTTAGCGCCCTATGGTGCAATACCATTGAAATCCACAAAGGACTCGGGGCCTCTGTACCTTCCCTTTAGAGGTGTCAAAGTTTGTCCTCTTGAACGCGGGCTTCACCGTTCTCAAAATTAAGCTACTTTAAGTTCTAGCTGCTCACAGCAGAAATCAGCAAAACCCTTAAGAGACCACTAAGGTCAGAAAAACGACAATCATCTCAAAGACTTAATTCATCAGGTCTGGGGGGGAGGGGGCGGGGCATTTTTTACATCAGCAAACAATGCTAGCCTGAAAACACCAGTTGTTTAATAGCCTTTCAGCAGTATGCTGGTGATTGTAAAGATGATTTAAAAACAGGGGTTGTTTTTTTCCCTTTCTACTACAGCTACTTGCTTTAGCTTTTTCAGAACACATCCTCCCTAGTAAGAACAAACATAGAACCTATGGTTCATTTCTTTCAGGGGAGCAAGGTTTGAAGAGATTGAATTCTTTTTTTCCCCCACAAAACTAAAGTAATATTTCCCAAGTTGGAAGCAAACTACAAATTACTACAATACTTCATTTGGAGCAAACATTTCCAACAAACAACAGAGATTACTGAAATGATAATATACTTGGAAAACAACGAAGGAAAAATGTTACGCAGTTGTTCAATTTTGCCAAAGATTCAGCGTACTCCAGCCCATTCAAGGAATGGTGTGACACATGGGCAAAGTATAAATTGCTTTCCTCTAAACCGACTCAAGGTATTTGAAAACTGCTTTTGAAAGAGCTGGACAAGCAGCAACATGACAGAAGAGTCCAATCTCTTATTGGTCCGCAAATCATATGTGTATCTGAATTTTTCTAAGCCATCTTTCAGTTAAGAAAAAACACGTATCTATATGAATATTTTCTATCAATGCAAATAAATGGTTGAGATGCCTGCAAAAGCCCAAAGCCTTATACAGTGCTTTAGAAACCCTCTTTAATTAAGAAAACAAAAAGTGCTAATTTGGGATCGCATCCTGTTCACATTATTTACAAAGTGTTCAGTAGGACTACTCACTGAGCAAAGCAAGATTATACTGACAGTCTTGTATTTCCTTGGTCCAGAGCAATCCTCACCAGCTCAGAAAAGCCAGTGCTCGTCTGTTTGGCACACAGTATAAGAAGTTAACAATAATTTGCCCGGATAATGAAGGTTTCTGGTAACGCCTCTGGTTTCATATAAGTTCTCTTTCCTGAAGCTTTAACAGTGTCAGAAGGAGCTAATAGGATCATGGGATAATGCAGTTTATTTTGAAACACTTTCTGTTATTTGATTACTATAAGATTCAGTGGCCTAGAGGGGATTTTTTTAAGGCCACAACAAAATAACCTGAAATTAAACAAATGTAGGAAAAAAATTCCCAAAAATCAGGTAATAGGTTTAAGATGCCGAGAGGAACTCTTGTGGTAGTAACTAGCTTACAGCTGAGAGGTGTAAAAGACACAAGCCCTGGAGTATACCCAGTAATAAACTGTGCCTGACCTAATGACCACTGAGCCAAGCAGCCGATGCAGTCTTATTTCACCATAATTCCAGGAAGGAGACTTGCACCACTTTAGCCTGACTTGGGGATTGGAATTTGAAAGGTAGGAAGCCCCAAATAGCTGTCTGCAGAGATAATTAGCTAGAAAATATTTTCGCTGCTTTTTCTAGGTCTCAGCAAAATTTCCAAGCAAATTTGCAGCACTGTCTGATGATACCAGGTCTGAATGTACCCGAATGTACAAAACATGATTGGTATTAATGCGGCACATTTATTTAGAGAGCATATAAGCTCAGGAACGTTTAAAGCGTTAAAGCAGCCCAGAGTATTTCCAACTCCTGCTAGTAGAATGTAATAAAAATACAATGATCTTTAGAAAAAAACCCACATACTTTACCAAGCACTAGTTAATTTGTTGTCTTTGATAAATTTCATCTCAACATTTTTGAAAACTAAATATACTGTTAACCAGAGTCCTGCACTTAATGTGGTAAGGGTTCTAGATGTTTAAATACATTAGCAATGATCCATCTTAACTACTGTGAAACATCAGGAACAGTAATACTTTGAGAATAAGCACACAGCTTGCTTAAATAAGTGGTACCAGTAAACTTTTGAACCCATGGAAAAAGATGAAAGTCACTGTCAGCAAAACTACTTATATTAATAAATTGCAGTATCTAACATATTTCTGCAATCTAAATTGTAATAGATAGCTCTAGTTTAAATTACTTGCATCATTCATTCACCGGCACAGCTGAGAAGAAAACCTAAATACTTTCTCAGATCTTTGCTAGCCAACGTCTGATAAAAACCCAATGCATGGCAATAATCTGGGGACACGGCATCACACATATAACGAACTGGGCTGCGGCACCACAACAGGCTGGATTCACACGGGATTCTGAGCCTATTCACCCACGTTCCTAAATCCAAGAATAAACTCCATTTATGCGGCCGGTGCTTAGCTTAAGCCCACAGTCTCTATGGGCGAGATGAGCTTTCCAAGTAATGTTTTATTTACACCATGTGATGCAACCAGAAGTAAACAAGGCCCACCTGGTAGCTTTCTACTTTGCTTCATCTTACACCAGTCAGTCTAAACAGAAGGTCTTATCTCTGTGTACAAATCTTGTCTTCCCTGTGTCCTCAGACAACACAGCTAAAACAAAGTGACTACGGTCTGTAGTAAAGCTCTTAAACTTGAATACTGCTGAACTGTCAAAGCTATGACACAATTTTCCAACAAGGCAGAAGACAAGACAGGTTGACTTGATATCCCAGTGGCGATGGCTTTCAGCTTGCAGTGCTGGCGAGTCAGGTGTAGGCTCGTGCTCCTTACAAAAATGTCATGAAAAAGAGGGCAAATCTATTAGTAGAACTTTCATGCTGGAGATACGAATTCAAGATCCCCACTCTAGATCAGGGATCCCGCAACAGGTTTTGCCCATCTGTGCCCTGGCCACAAAGATGTTGGGGATAATGGAGGGGTTTTTTTTTCCACAGGGAAAACTGGGCTGACTTGTCAGTTCCAGGAGGTTGGTTCACAGCACAGCTGAGAATCCACAAACCAGGGTAGATGCCCCCCTCCAGTGTCAATCAGGCACTTCGTTCCTATTAAAGAGAGGAATTTCTCCCTCTCCTCTTCCTGACCATTTCTGACTGGGTAACTTAAATCTTCCCATGCCTGTGTCCTTATGTTACACATAAGCACCTAAGCAGAAGGACACTTAAGAGCAGCGACAGCGTTAGTACTGCAACAATTCCACTCTGGATTTAATCCAAACCACTTTCTGTTCCTGACCAAGTTTCCAATTGATTTAAGATCACTGTTGTTTCCCTTCAAACGAAAAGGCAGGGTACTAACTTGAGGCCAAATTCTGTTCCTACTAAAGGTTAGTGCGAGTTACTACACCAATCAATACAGGAGTCAAACTGAAACCTTGTTCTTGAACAATGGAAGAAAATAAAAAAGAAACCAGAACTACTCACTGCAATGTATCTAAAATAAATGCTGCAATAACAGAACTTTTTAAAAGGACACCTCTGCAGATCAAATGTACCTAATTACTATTAATTCTTTTGATAAAAGGTAACCTCTGTCACTCCAAAGCAAAGCAAGAAAGTGATTTTTTTTTTTCAGTACAGAAAATGAATTTGTCCAGGCTAGGAAATGTCTACAAAGATTTTTAGAAAGAACCATTTGGAATTGAAAAAATTCTTCTAAAATGCAATGGATTCAATCTAAAGTCACTGCAGATTTAGTACATAATATGAAACAAGACATTTCAGCATGCTTTTTATGTGGCTACAAACTGTACATAGTGGAATTTCATAGCCCCAAAGAATAATGCTCTTCAGAACTCTGTTAATGCCTCTGAACATCATTCAGATTCTGTGTACAAAAAGACATAATTTAGAAACTTAATCCAGTTTTTTTTAAACATGGCAGTATATCTGAAA